CATGGGTGGAAACAACCTGGATTGTAAATTCACTGAGTTCCTGGGTGACTCTGGGAGGCCCCCTTGCTTCTCCTAACCAGCCTAGAACCATTCCTTGTGACGGGGGAGAAAGTACTCAGTCTTCACTCTGCATCCTGTTCTGAAACTTTGGTCAACTCCAGATCATTCTGGGTCTCTCCACAGTTTCTATTTCTTTCCCAGCTTGATGGAAGTGATGAAACTCAGTTGCCAAGAGCACTGACTGCCAGTTGCTTTGCTTTGAGTGTTATTGCAATGAAGCAGTTTCTCTGTATATATCAGCAATTCAAGAAATCTTTCCCCCTTCCAAGAAAGATCAGAGAAATGTCTGAGATAAGAGGTCCTGAAGATGAGGTGAATGAAAGCTAATGAGATGGAATTGCTTTTCTGCTGTGTGTTAGCCTGCTGGGTGCCAGGCCAGAAATAGTCCACCCGTGGTTTGCTATGCGCTTCTGTTCTGCTGGAACTTATCCTGATGGAAACTGTAATATCATTGGAGGGAATGAGCTACAGGCTTACAGGCCAAGCTTCAATTCTTGGGTTTTGCAATGTATTTTATGAAAATAGAGCCTTCAGTCCTTGGACAAAAGGTGGGCAAAGTGCACAAGTCTCCAGGCTAGACGTCCAAAAGCTGCTGTCCCTGTTGTCTCTGGAGTATTTAGTTGTAGAACAAGGGACTTTCCCTTAAACTTTGAGTCTCACTTTTCTTGTCTGTGAAACAGAAGGAAATCTTCAGAGACATTTTGGAGACAGAAGACAGGGCTTGTTTACTCTGTAGTGCAGCGTGGGTTGAGGGGAGGGAAGGACCCAGGATATCCCTGAAGCTCACTGGTATTTACTTCTTGGTCAGTCTCTGAATGGCTGTACACTGAAGGGAAGACCATGACTGGAACCGGCAGAGAGCAGTTATTCCAAATATCTACTTCCTTGAAAAACAAAGGACTCTGAAATACATAAAAAGAAAAGGAATATTACTCAGCCTTTAAAATGAAGTTAATGCTGCCATTTGGAACCACACACGTGAACCAGGAAAACATTAAGCTAAGTGAAATTAGCTAGATTCTGAAGGGAAAATACCGCATGATGACGTTATGGGTGGAATCTAAAAAAACTGAACTCATAGACGCAGAGAGGATAGGAGTGGTGACCAGAGGCTGGGGACAGAGGTTGGAAACATTGAAAGATACTGGTCAAAAGGACAAACCTTCAGATATAAGATGAATAAGTTCTGGAGACCTAATGTACATCATGGTGACTCTAGCTAATGATAATGGATTATATTCTTAAATTTTTAAAAAATTTTTAATTTAATTTAAATTTTTTATTGAAGTATAGTCAGTTTACAATGCTGTGTAAATTTCTGGTGTATAGCATAATACTTCAGTCATAGATAAACATATATTCGTTTTCATACTCTTTTTCATTATAGGTTTCTACAAGATTGAATACACTTCCCTATGCTCTACAGTATAAACTTGCTGTTTATCTATTTTATATATAGTAGTTGTATCTGCAAATATTAAGCGCCCAATTTATCCTTTCCCAACTCTTCCCGCCCTGGTAACCATAGCTTTGTTTTCTATGTCTGTGAGGTTTTTTTTTGTTTTCCTTTTTGTTTTTTGTAAATAAGTTCATTTGTCTTTTTTCGGATTCCATATATAAGTGATATCATTATGTTCTTGAAATTTGCTAAGAGAGTGGATCTTAAGTGTTTTCACCACACACCCCAAAAGCTAGCTGTGTGAGGTGATGGTTATGTTGACTAGCTTGACTGTGGTATCATTTCCCAATGGATGCATTTTGAAAACATTGGTTTGTACACCCTGAGTAGACATCCTTTTAATTTGGTGCACGCTGTGTGGCTACTGGTAGAGGACTCTTTGAAGTGTTCACCTTGTTTCTTGGTGCTTTGTACTCTGCACCTTATCCCTCTTGGGGATGATTAATTTTGCTTGGGAACATCTCTCAGTGTACTTCATACACGTGACTACAAATTCAGGCTGAGCGTTTTGGGTTCTTCCAGCAAATCACTGGGCATGAGGGTGGTCTTGGGGACCTCTGATTCCAGTGATCAAACAGTGATTGCCTAGCGTTGGAAGGCTTCCTGGATGTCTACCTTTAATTACTTACCAGAAGAGAACAGGCAGACTCTTATGGGCTCATCACCACACGTGCAGCACGAACCTAAGACATGAAGAAAAGTTGAGCCTTGGAGAGGTCACAGCTTGTACCTCAGCAATCTCTTAATCATGTGGATATTGAAGTGTGACCTTTGTTGCTTACGTAGGTTCCTAAGAGTGAAGCTCTGGAGGCCACCAAATTTGCTATAGGTGCTGGGTTCCGCCATATTGACTGTGCATATGTCTACCAAAATGAAGAGCAGGTTGGACAGGCCATCCGAAGCAAGATTGCAGACGGCACTGTGAAGAGAGAAGACATATTCTACACTTCAAAGGTGCTGTGTGTGTGCTGTGTGTGCCCATGTGTGAACAAGTAACAATTACGTGATAAGATCAGTAGCTGTTTGCTGAGTTGTGCACATTGGTAGAACTTTTATTCCCCCAATATTTACGTGTTAAACCAAGTATCCAAAAAGAGAGAGAGAGAGAGAGAGAGAGAGAGAGAGAGAGAGAGAGAAGGGAGTGATGACTGCTTTCTCATCACCGCTGTGTTTAAATTTTAGCTTTAAAGGTATAGTCACTTCACTTCTCTGAGCCTAGACTGGAGCAGTGTGGTTTAGCACGGGCTAATAAATCAGAGAACAGTGATCAGATTATACCTTTCCTTATCATCTGGGTGACTTTCTAAAATTTCTTCACATTCTGAATCTCAGTTTTCAGCACCACCAATAAGAGAGAGGGATAGAGGAGGCAGTTTGTTTGTTACTCAAGATCTAGTCAATATGTCTTAAACTGTGTTCTGCACATATTAATATGTTCAAAGCGCTGTTACATAAACAAGCAGATAATAAGTATTCCTGAGAGGATACGTTGTTTGATGGAATTTGCCCAAGCTTGTGAACTGCTTTTAAACTCTCTCAGACACAATTCAGATGATGGGCGCGACAATTATTTGCTAACACTTTTTATTTCTGGGGTCTTTTCCTGCCATTGTTAGTACGTATAATGATGATAACTTCAAGCAAATAATAAAGTTTCCATCGGTAAGTTCAGCCACAAAAGAACCTCAAAAAGAAAAGGAGTATTTTTTAAATCACCTTCTAAACAGTAGAAATGTCTAGTCATTAGATGAAAGAAGAAAAACAAAATCACCCGCTTTCTTTCTTGAACCTCTGCAGCTTTGGGCCACTTTCCTCCGACCAGAGTTGGTGCGACCAGCCTTGGAAAAGTCACTGAAAAATCTTCAACTGGACTATGTGGACCTCTATATTATTCACTTTCCCGTGGCTATGAAGGTTGGCAGTTTGGGTGATGACAAGTGTTTTATTTCTTATGTCAGAATGTCTAGTAACTTGCATAAGTGGTTGAATGGAGATTTTTCAGATAGATGTCAGGATGATTCACTAGAGTCAAATCCCCAAAGTAACAATTTTTATTACATTTTTACTGAGCTTTTTGAATCCTTACTATTCTTTCCATGCCCCCAAGAGAACAGAGTCCAACAATCTCACACCTTTGCCTTAAAAATCTCGAGGAAATAGAAACAGGCATGTTCAGCACCGGGTCCTGATTAGGGCCCCGGGTCTCCTGTGGATTTCATAAACGCAGATTCGGCGCGGCGGTGCCGAGCCCTGAAGCTGCCTTCCAGCTGGCTGTGATGAGTTTGCCTCCTCTTTCGCCCTTTGCAGTTGAGCAGTTTTGGTGGTGCTCTCTCTGGGTGGGTCTCAGCCATCAGTCTTTGTAGGGACTTGAGGGACCTTGCCTATGACGTTGGCTGTCTCACATGGAGTTTTCTAGACTATGCTTAGTGATTAACAACCGTGCTATGTAGAACTCTTGATTTTAGGTCACAGAAATCTACACAAGCTCTCCTACACAAAATAGCTTAATGAATTATGTAAATGGGACGTCCAGCCATGGATAGAGTTAAGGGCTGGCAGTACTTCAGAAATGTCCCCTTTTCTCTATCCTTTAACATGACATTACTCTTGCCTGTCTTAATTTTTATCTCCATATTTTCTATCGGTGGCAAATATGGCCTTGGTTGAGGTC